ATTGTATAATTAACTTGAACCATTGTGAATTTAACTTGAATCATTGTGTATTTAACTCGAATTTTGCTACAGTAAACTCCATTCTTAACTATGGGTCGTCCTTAAACCAGGTGTTCTTATCCCAGGGACTACCTGTATACCACTTCTGCTTCTTTATCTAGAGACTTAAGATTTATTAAGATGACAAAAATTTACCCAAATGTTTCTCCAGAGAAATAATTTTCTGCTCAAGACTTACCAGAAGACTTTGGCACAAGATGCTGCTGATGAACATGCCCCTCCAGTTCTCTCAATCTGCTGGGTGCTTCCTTGAACACCTAATGTTGCGTGGGGGGAAATAACTTTTACATTCCAAAAACCATGGGTATTATTGTGCAATATTATACAGCTACAGACTATAGTGGGCAGGACAATTAATCTATCACTAAAAAGCCTACAGAAGATCAAGGGGTTTGCAATTGGCTCTTGAAAAGGGCTGAGGGTTCTTTCATGCACCGTGGGGCTCTCAATATGGCATCAATCATTGATACTATTTTCCTCTCGGGTGAAGCATTTTAAATTGCTTCCTTTAATGGCTTGAAGAGTTCATGAGACTTGAAGGGAAACTCCCAAAACAAGTATACTTCCTGAGATTATGATCTCTTGGATTTATATCACACCTTTCCTCCAGGAACACAAAGTTGCTTACATTATATTTTCCCTTCATCTTATCCCAGTAATAATAATAATAATAATAATAATAATAATAATAATAAAATTGTCTGCGGTAGACTGGACAATGAGAGAGAATGATTGGTCCAAATCACTCAGTGAGCTTCCACAGCTGAGAGTAGACTAGAACCTGGATTTCCCCAGTCCAACACCATAAATACTGTATCATAGAAATACTCATATCTGCTGCATTCCTCCTTTCCCTCTAAGTTTGCTACATCATAGTTCACCGTATGCTGAAGTATCCTTCTATGATATATTTTTGGATACTGATCATTCCACTTCCACCAGTTTCATTGCATGGGCTTAAGAGCTTTTTACATTACTCAACAGTGTGATAAAGTCACAACAGGAACAATTTCCAAAATGAAAAAGCTAGTCAGAGGGAGTACTGTACATTCAGAAAAGCCACGTAATATAAACCTGCTGTTTTCTTGTGAACTACCCAGAGTCATTACAAGTTGGGCAGTGTACAAACTGAATAAAATAAATAAATACATTATAATACTACTTCAGAATGCAGATGAGGGTTACGTGTCTGAATGTTCACACTAATAAAAGGCTAGCCCGTAAGCAGCAAAGCTGTGTAGATGAAGACTACACTGGAGCTTTTCTCTATGCATGTAAGGTTTTCATTTTTCCTACAGGGAGCTTGGGAAGAGCTCAGTCCTATAGCAACGCCAAAGTTTTGTGGGTCTGGCTCTAAATAGTCCCTGAAGGAGAGAAAGAAGGCTCTCTAAGTTCAACTGAACTTCAAAGGGCAATAGAAATAAGTTAGTATAAAAACCGAACATTGTGGAAATATACCACAGCTCAGAAAAGTGTTTTAAATTTACTTTCAAAGATATCTACATCTGAACCTATTCATGGTGCTGTAAACAGCAGGAAATTATGAATTATCCAGTTTATAAATTCAAAAAATTGCAAATTTCAGTAAGAATGTTAACATTGTGACCCTATTTTTATAAAATAAGTTATCCAGTTCTCTCCCACACCCAATTGCTCACAACTATCTTACATGAACACAACTAAAGGAACAATATGTAATGCATACTGATTAAAATTCATACCTTCTTCCATTTAATATTCAGGATGTTCAGCCTATCAGAAATATTCTCTCTTTCCTGAGGCCCAATGCTTGAAAATACCTCTGCTTCTTTTCTGTTTAGCCACTTCAGTTTCTCTCCTTGTATATCCATTTCCTTAATCAGTCCCTAAATGGGTAAAGACAGTGTTACGTATTCATTTAATACCTTATATTCAGGTCGGTATGTATGGGTCAAATTGTAAGAGCACAGAAAAATCACAGTAAATGGTATTGCTGAGCAAAATTCAATGAAGATTTATTCTGAAAAGCAAGTTCCAGGTCCTGTGGCTGCAAAAACATAAGCAACCAACATTTAATGCCATAGAATAAACCATAATCGGGTTACAGAATAAACCATAATTTTATTAATCATAACACATGACATATTAAGCTAAAACAATATCTATCTATCTATCTATCTATCTATCTATCTATCTATCTATCTATCTATCTATCTATCTTATAGTTTAGCAATGACATGGAAATCATGTTTATGCATGAGACTACAGCTTATGCTTTGGATCCAGTGGAACCAACAGATACTTTGAGCATTCCTAAACATTATCGAACAACAACAAAAGGAACATGATACAATAAATAAAAACTCAAAAATGCTTAATATTTTTAAAGTTACTTGCCATTAATTCTTGCAAATTCTCTTCATGGCTGATTGAAGGTTTCTCATCCTGGGAATTTTCTACATTTTCCACCCAGCAACTAATTTCTTCTAGTTTTTGTGTGAAATCCATTAATTGCTGATTTTTTCCTTTCAGTCTGAATCAAAACCCCCAAGGTGGAATACAAAACAAAATCAATATAAATATTGAAACAAATGTAAAAGCAAAATATTCTAGCTACAGCTCACTAAGAGGCATAGAAAGGATACACTAGAATATTAAAAACAAGATTTAGTGAAGCATGTGCCTTAATGGCACAAATTTCATAGGTCATTTCCATTTGTTTTCCAGAAAAATGATTTCATGTAAAAAAGTCTTCAAATGTAGGCCTTAATCTTTAAAATACATTTTCCCTGCAATACAGTGGTACCTCTACTTACGAACGCCCCTACTTACGAAATTTTCGAGATACGATCAGCTCCGGCCCCAAAAATTTCCCTCTCCTTACGATTTTGCCTCGACTTACGAGCCATTTTCCGCCCGTTCCACGTGGTCCGCGCCCATTTTTCCGCCCGTTCCACGTGGTCCGAAGCCATTTTCCGCCCGTTCCACGTGGTCCGCAGCCATTTTTCCGCCCGTTCCACGTGGTCTGCGGCCATTTTCCGCCCGTTCCACGTGATCTGCGGCCGTTTTTCCAACCCTGACACGTGGTCCGCGGCCATTTTTTCCGCCCTGCCGCGTGGTCAGCGGCCGTTTTTACACCCCTGACGCGTGGTCCGCAGACGCCAGAACAGATTAACGGTAATTACATTGAACGTTATGGGAAAATTTACTTCGACTTGCGACCAACTCGACTTGCGATCAGAGTCATGGAATTACGGATTAAGTTCGTAAGTAGAGGTACCACTGTACTTTGTATTTTCAACGTAATATCCTTATGGAAAAATTCAGTGAATTGACATACTGCCTTCCATCAGATTAAGCACATTTATAAAATCTATATTAATATAGTTTTGATATTACTGTATATGAGCAAGACAATATATAGGGGAAATTGACTTTATAGTACCTATTGTTTAGGTTTTATTTTGAAGGGGAAATAGTTTTCAATTTCAGTGCTTTCTAGCATACATGTATTAACATCTAACTTCACATAAACTGATTTAGTTGGATTTTGTTCATTTTGGATGGAAGACTTTTTCAAACTTATTAACCATATGCCTATTAAGAAGCATTCAAGGAAATTTCCAACAGTCATTAATAAAATGCAATTTCAGAACATCCCTTCTTCAGTTGTAACACTCCGAAGTAAACAAAAAAATCATGTAAGTTAATGATCAATTCCTTGTTTCAAAGCAGGGAAAATATAGAACAACTGCATGTTATATTATATTACATATTATATAAAATATTAATATATCATCAATATTATAATTAATATAAGCTTTATATATTATATTATATTATATTATATTATATTATATTATATTATATTATATTATATTATATTATATTATATTATATTAATAGTAACAGCTATGAAGCTAGGAAGTTGCCTTAGGAAATCTTAGGATATAACAGTTTTCTCTTCATGAAAATCCAGAAAGATATCTCCAAATTTTAAAGAAATTTATCTCCAAGATTTCTACTAATATATCTTCAAATCCTGAGGAGTCCAGTTACCTCTGTTGCCTTTCCATGATTTCAACACTGATGGTTTTCCAGCGTTTATACAGCCCAGCTAGTTTTTCTTTCAGGAAGCTTCCATCTGTATTGGAAAGTTTCTGGATTATTTCTTCTCCTGTTCTATTCAGTGCTGAAAAACTGACCTGATGGCTGCTGATTCCCTCTTCAAGTTCCTGTTGAAAATGCATATATATATATATACATTTAAAGCTGAATATTGTCGCCTACCCAACATGACACTGATATATCTGGGGAAAAAATGATTGGTTGCTCAGTTCTTAAAGAGACAGATTATACCTCACCTTTAAGTAATTGATTAGGTATCGATTAAGTGATTATCAAAAGTTGACAATTACGGTATATTTAAGAATATCTACCAAACACAAATGGTGCAGAACTGAACCAGTGTGAAGGCTTGGACCCCTAAAATAATTAGAATATATATGCCTATCCTTAAGATACTGGACCTATATTTAAAAAGAAAAATGCTGCCTTTTATTTTGGAGTGGTGGAATGAAATGAAAATAACATATTGCATTCATTGTCTCAAACAGATATTCTGCCTAGTCTTTGAAGATTTCAACTAGGCTGATTAAGGACAGTGTTCCCATACTCTGCAGATATAATAAAAGCCCCAAGGAAACAGAAGGAAGTCAAGGAAAGTCAGACTCAAAGCTTCAAATATTCTTAACACCCAAAGAAAGCATTTACTGTCAACAGAACTCACTTTATTTACTTATTTATATATAATTTTGACTGATTATCTTTCATCAAGTTGTTGTCAACTCTTAGCGACCACATAGATTTTCTCCATGATTTTTTATTGATACACATACACGTACACACACACAAACACACGCAGAAAGATACATGCATATAGATTTGCTTAGGGCACAATTATAAAGCACACTAGATAGATCTTAACACTTTTTGCACAAAATTAAATAAGAAATTACATCACGGAAACAATACAGTTAATTTAACTTTAGTTTTCCAAAGAAAATGACTCACATCTTAAAAATAAGATCTTAAAGATCTTCAAACAATGTTTTAAAGTAAGATTTTTTTTCTTTAAATTTTAAATTGGTGTTCACATTGAAACCAAACAAAAAGTTTGATTATTTAACAGTCAGAGAAGATTGGAATTAGATGATATTCAACAAAAGGATA